AAGATTTAACTTCCTGTGAAAGTCACCCGGACTCAACACACTCTGTGATTTATTTCCTGAAGCCGATCGCTTCGTTTCACTTCACTGATGCACTTTCCAATGAATCTGTCAGATGTTTTTTTTGTTTTGTTTTTTGGAGCCTGTAGTTTTATTTTTTTTGATGATGTATTTTAGGTTTGTGTTTTTGTCCAATTAAAACAATTCTGAAACAAACCCCCCCCCCAGGAGTCCTGCTGACTTTATTAAACACTGAATAAAAAACTCATTTTGAATGTTATTCTCTGACTGATCTGATTTGATTTAGAGTTAGAGCGGCACTGAGCTTATGAAGCATCAAAAAGAGGTTTATAACGAGGAAACAATCCACCAAATGTTTTGGGTTGAATGAACATTATTTTGTAATTACATGGTCTCATGGGTTTTCTCCTGGTCTTCATTACAAACCAGTACAGCACATCTCATGAAGCTGATTAAAAGTCAGACTTGAGGTTAGTATTTATCTCATGTATTTTACAATCAAAACGTCAGACAAAACAGAAAAACATACCTTTCAATGTCACCGAGTCCACACAGATGTCTTTAAAATACTTTGTGTTCTCCAGCCAACAATCCAAACCCCCACAGAGAAAAAGTGAATTATATTTATAAGGACAGAAAAGGCAGGAAATCTTCATATGAGCGTTGAAGCTGTAAAACAATCACAACTAATAGATGATCAAAACTACGACATCATCACAGTTCATCAATATTTATTCTCCAGGATTCAGAGGAAGTGAAATGTTTTTAATATAAATTATTTATTTCAACATCTAACTTTACAAAACTGTATTATTTGTATGTTTTCAGTCCCACAGTGTTCAGACAGTCAAATATGAATATGTTGGAAGTTAAACTACAGACACAGCTCGTCCGTTTTAAAGTTAACATGTAGTCTCACATCGAGGGCGGAGGAGATTCAATTAGTCTGAGAAAAATGGTAAATGAAACTTGAGCTTGTTAAGTGTTTTTCTCGTCTTCTGTCTACTCAAAGCCTCGCGTCCACCGAGCGTTTTTTTCCAGGCAGAAAAAAAGCGCTGGCTGTGCGCTTTCTTCCCGTTTTGATTCCAGTTGAGGCAAAGTGGTGAGTGGATCCAGTGTGAGTTCGTCTGAAGGAGTCCAGTTCAAAGTCAGTTTGTAAACCAGAATAATGTTGATTTATTTCATCCGCTCTTCATAGAAAAGTTTCCTTCTGAATCAGAGCACGTTCAGAACTTCCTGCTGATGAGGCGACTTTGATGTTTAAGTGCAGGGAGTTTATCCATCAGAGTCAGTTTACAGATCAGTGCTACAACATGTCAGTAGTGCAGATAAATGACCTCCAGTGATTTTTCAGCCGTCTGGGTCCGTCCTCAGCTCTCCCAGCCGTCGAGCACGGGCAGGAAGGGCAGGTCGGTGCTGCCCAGGTACGTCCTCCCCCGGTGCTGGAAGACGTCGCTGATGGCCCACGTCAGGCGGCCCTCGGGGTCGTGCAGCGTTCCCACGATCTGACCGTCCAAGTCCAGCTCCAGGACCAGAGCGTAGCGGGGCAGCAGGACGTCGTACCAGCTCAGAGGAATCACCTGGAGACACAAAATCAATCCACTGAAACACTCCAGACACACACGAGCTTTAAAATGTAGGAAATCGAATAAACAAACATTTTTATTTTCTTTAAATGTTGATTTATTTACGTCTCTTAAAGTTCCATAAAACCACTTGGTAGTCCAGTCAGATTCTTTGAAATAAAGGTTTTTGGCCAGTTTGACCACAGAGGACATCTCCAAAAGTTCACCAAGAGTTCAGGCCTCTTTCTTCAGTGTGTGTGTGTGTGTGTGTGTGTGTGTGTGTGTGTGTGACTAGGCAGTGTGTTCAACCAAAACCTTTGTGATCATCCAAAAAAAATAAAAGTGTGTGTGTGTGTGTGTGTGTGTGTGTGTGTGTGTGTGTGTGTGGGTCCTGCCCCCTGTCCCGTCACATTTCACACTAGCTAGTCCGTGTGCAGACTGGAACAAAGCCTGTTATTCTCCACTGAGTGACACAAAGTGATTGTGAATCACACGGCGCTGCTTCACAGTGAGTGAAATGCATCATGGGAAAGAAGATTTGGTTATAAGAGCTGATAAAAACCTTTCCTCTGCAGTCGATGGTTTAAAGCAGACAACATGTTTTTATTCAGTTTGCATTAACTGGTGATGAACACAAACGTGTAAATCATATATTTATTTTGCATTTTCTTTGTTTATTTATTTAAAAAGATTAATTTGGGTTCCTCTGCTGATAATCCCTCTCGCTCATGTTCTGCTCGTTCTGTGATCTTTGGCAGTTTTGGTCCCTAATCTTTAAAGGTCACATGTTCTCCTCCTCCTCAACAACCAGCTTCAAAACAATCAACACTTCTGTCTGAGTGTTTGTTGGTCTACCTTTGCCAGGAAGCGTTTGACTGCTGGATACGGGGCGATCAAATCCAGGAAGGGAGGCACAAGCTTCCGGAACCTTGGCGTCGTTATGCCAACCAGGAATGTTCCGTGGTCGCTAAGGCGGATGTTGTCAGGGTAACCGATCATGTTGTCAAGGAGGATCTCTTTGGTTCCAGCCTTTGGACCCTTCAGCCAAAATCTGAGAGAGGACAGAGAGACGGTGTGTGTGTGTGTGTGTTGTGTGTGTGTGTGTGTATGTGTGTGTGTGTGTGTGTGTGAGGTGTGTGTGTGTGTGTGTGTGTGTGTGTGTGTGTGTGTGTGTGTGTGTGTGTGTACCTGAGTACTCGTCCGATGCTGGTCTCTGCCAGCAGCAGGAAGTTGTCGTCTGGAGACAGAGCGATGCCGTTGGGCATGTAGAGAGAATCCAGCAGAACCTTCACACTTTGTGTTTGAGGGTCGAAGGAGAGGAGACGACCGAGGCGGTTCAGCTCGATCACCTGGAGGAACAAAAACAGAGACCAGTGAAGGCGCCATGTGACCAGTGAAGGCGCCATGTGACCAGTGAAGGCGCCATGTGACCAGTGAAGGCGCCATGTGACCAGTGAAGGCGCCATGTGACCAGTGAAGGCGCCATGTGACCAGTGAAGGCGCCATGTGACCAGTGAAGGCGCCATGTGACCAGTGAAGGCGCCATGACACCAACACGCCCGCTGTTTGTAGGACGACCTTCTTCTTTAATACTCCCCTCGGCTCGGGGTCAGTCGTGTTTGTCAGCTGTGAAAGTACTCAACATCCGATTGGTGCCGCTTCCCGGTCTGCTCGCTCTCATTGGCTCTTGATTGCTGCACTGTTGTTTTAGTTTTCATGCTTTTAATAGATTTTATTGTTGTGTATTTGTTGGGATTTTTTCTTTTTTCTTTAAAGCACTTTGTGACGTTGGTTTTGATAAGTGCTTTATAAATAAACTTTATTATTATTATTATTTAATTGTTGTTAGAATTAGTTTTGGTATTTAGTTCACTGATATTTGGGTGGTGTTGTTTATTTAATTATTCTACACATTGTCTTTATTTAGAATAGATATTTGGGTAGTTTTTTTCTTTTGCTAGTTATTTGTTTAGTAAATTTAGTTTTGCATTAGTATTTTTTTGTTAGGTATTTGGGTAACACTGTGGGCCCCAGAGGCAGGTAGAGGACCAGCATGCACCTGGGTGGGCCTATGAGAGGCAGCAGGAGCCACAGTGTCTTGTTCTTTTGTTTGCTTTCTTTTGAACCAAATAAACAGCAGATCTCCTGCATGGACATTAGACCCCATGGTGCATCAGTGGTCATTTGATTATGTTTGATATTAGTTTACTTAGATTTTTAGACAAATAGCCACTACAGAGGCATTTCATTGACACCTCACTCTTGAGGATAATTTGGACAAATAATCAGTTTGCAACAAACCTTGACAACGCGCCCTTAACCCTGGTTAGGCTTCTCCTCTTGAGCCTCCTTCTTCAACTTCCTGAACTGAAGTACTCTTAACATTTCTCTTCTTTGTAAGAATAAAAGAACAAGTGTGTCCACTCACCCGTCTTGCCCGGATAAAGGAAACCTAAAGGACATGTGTGTGCTGATGTTTTTCTCTCTTTTTAGTTTGTGATTGGCCAGCAACACTGAAAAAAAAAAAAAAGGGTTGGCAGGAGAAACTTTGGATATTTGTTGCTCTTTTTGCACATTTGCACACCTCCACTTTGCACTTTAATAACTTGAATTTCCGTTTCCTGGTATGGGCTCTTGACTGATTCTATTGCGTTGTTTTTATTTGGTTTTATATTTTGCTGTGTTGGCTGTTTTTTTTATTTGTTTTGGTCCATGTTTTATGGTGATGTTGTCCTTGTGTTTCTTGTCTTCTGTTGGAATGCAAATTTCCCCTGAATCTGAATCTAAAGTCAGAGTGAATTATTCACACGTGCAGCTATCAGCTATAAGATCTTCCATTTCCATCCCCTCACCTCCAGTTTGACGTGTCTGCGTCCCCATCGGCTTGACGAGTCTGTGAAGTAAATCACCCCCGTCTGAGAGGAAACCTCCAGGCCGTTCAGAAAGGCAAAGGGAACGCCGTCAGCACCTGAGAAACAAGAGGGGTAAAAAAAAAAAAAAAAAAAAAAAAAACGGTCACAGACTTTAAATCAGCAGAGCTTCTTTTAACATTCACACAGAAAACTAAATACCCTGTGAGTTAGCCAGCAGCAGAGTCTTTTCTTTAGTTTCTGGGTCGACGCTGTGCAGCCCAAAGTAAGAGTCGGCTACGATCAGCTGACCGCGACGATCCAGACGGACGCCGTGAGGACGACCGCACACGGGCTCGAAGTCTGTGCTGCTGCCTGCAGACGCAAAAAGAAAGATTTATGAATATTTTCTGGAAGAGAATGCATGAATGAACACTTTGTCTTATCTGATGCTGAGAGAATCGCAGGAAGGAAACAAAAAAAAACCCACAATTATCCCTTTTTTTGAGGTGTGGGTGGGTGGGTGGGATACCAAAGCTACAAAACCACAGAAGAAGAAAGAGACGAGTGAAGATGAAACACAACCGACCACATTCTGGTAAATCCTGTCCCATCTGTGTGATGAGCGTGAGGCTGTCGTCAGGACCGATCCTCCACAGCTTCCCGTCCACTGTTCCTGTGTAGACATGACCTGAAACACACACGCACGCACACACACACGCACGCACGCGCACACACACACACACACACATAAACACACGCAGCTTCTCACTTATTCATTACTGCAGATTTTTCATTTTGTACACTAAAATTTTCAGGTTGAAAAAAAATCCAGAAATTAAAACCTCCTAATTAAGATCTATAATTTGATCCATAAAAGGTATCGAGGGAACAAACATATATTACATGACACATACAGGAAGCAAAAAGGGACAAAAAGCCTTGCACACAATACAAGAAAAGGTCAGGTGGTAAAATAAATAAATGAATCACACATCTATAAAAGCACAGAGAGGTGAAAAATAAAACCCAGCACGCTCACCCTCCTCGTCTGCAGTGAAGGATTCTGGGCCGTGTAGTTTCCCCGTAAACAGTCTGCGGCCCTTCTGCAGTCGGGTGTTTACAGCCAGAGGACCCTCGAGGGCCGGAGGAGGCCCCTTCAGTCTGGAGGAACAGAAAAGTTGAATCTTTTTAATGCTTCAATGAAGAATATTTGTATCCTGATGACGAGTAAAAAAAAAAAGATTCTCCCATTCTTAATCTTGTTACTTTAAAAATGTGTTATTGTGTGTAGAGGAGTTATGCACATTGTTGAGTGTTGTTGTTGTTGTTGTTGTTGTTGTTGTGTACTCACACATGAGGTTTGGGGTCTATGGGAGAAGGCAGCAGGTAAACTCCGACAGCTGCAGCGAGCAGAGCGGCTAACAAAGCTCTGCGACCAAACCTGAGAGAGAAGGGAATAAAGAAAACGTCCTTAAAGGAGTCTGAGGTCTGACGTGAACGCTTCATAAATCAACAACAGAGCTGTGGAGTGAACTTTGACATGTAAAACATGTTTCACAGTGTTGTGTCACACACTATTTCAAGTAACGCAACATCACATGTGGGTTACACAACTGAGAGACTTCTTATGGAGGACAAAAGAAAGCCTTTTCTCCTGCAGAACCCCGACCTGCACTTTAAAACTAGAGATGCACCGATTGGGAAAATCAGGGCCGATACCGATGTTTGAAATTAAATTTAGCCAATTGCCGATTTTGATACCGTTTTGTTTTGATGACTCACACAATGCAGTCATGTTCAACAATGAAAACAATTCAGAGTTTTGTCCAACAGGTGGCTTCATCTGCCCAAGAAAAAACCCTCTTCTCTGAATCAGTAGTTAGGTGAACTGGAGGCAGCATTAAATTGATTTAGTGCAACAAATAAACATCCTGACATCGGTTCATGCCACATTATTTGCCGATGTCTCAAAGTTTTCCCCTGCTCAGGAATCTTTCAAAATAAAGTTGTTTTTTTGAGATGCACCTTGCACATAAACCAAACTTAACTCTAAAATCTGCAAGTTTTTTATTTGCATGTCTTTGACTCTTCCTTATATGTTTTTAATATATTTGACAACTTCTTGCATAACTCACTTTGCAGCATTTTGTAACATGCGGTCTCCTCCTCCCGCACACAGCTGTGTATCCTGATGACTCACCTGAGCCAGCTGTTTGACGTTTTAAATATAAAATAAGAGATAACTGATGTTTTAAACTGATGCCGAAAATTAAGTCTGGCCGGAATTGTTCAAGAAATCTATTTAATAGTTTTTTTATTTCGACGCTGCAGCTTGTAAATCAACAATTATCAGATTTATGAGCAGGGTTTGGCGGCGCACAGAGACCCTTCCTTCAGACTTTTACTTTGGAATAAAAAACACAACAAACAGCTGGAGTTTCATATTTTGTTGTCGCGGGAGGAGAAAAGTTTTGAAAAGGTCAAACTTACATTGTTTAGTTTGTCTTCTTCCTGCAGCGGATCAAACAGGTCCGGCTGAAGTTCAGACCGGCGGGGATTGAGTTTGATCGGCGAGGAGCTCCGAGTGAAGCTCACTGGAGGCTACAACAGAACATCCGGTGAGACCCTTCAGAATAAAAGTGTTGTGGAACACGTATCCGGTCCGTGTGTGAGTCTTAACCATAGACTGTAAATATGAACTGAAGTCTTTCTTCTTCTTAATAAACTCCTAAGGGAGATGATTAGGGCCACATATGGGGAAATAAATGATAATAGGAGTATGACTATTTCCCATAATGCACTTTGAGAAAACACCTGGCCCCAATCCTCCTCCATAGACTCTGATCCCAACACAGTTTTTATTCTAACCACTCAAAGAGTGACTGTTGACCGTTGACCTCATCGTCCTACTTTCTCTTATGTATATATAGTTTTTTATTTTATATAATAACAAGGATTGGGCTTAGTGGTTATGTCTGGGACCCCATGTACAGAGGCTTTAGTCCTCATCACAGCAGCTGTGGGTTCGAATCTGACCCTGCCCTTTTCCGCTGCATGTCGTCGACCACTCTCTCCTCCCAACACTTCCTGTTTCTCTTCAGCGGTGCAATCCAACAAAAGTAAAAAGGCAAATAACTTAAAATAGTTATTAAAAATAAAAGTTTAAAGAATTAACCAGCTTTATATTGTGTTTTTTTTGTCTCCTCAAATGTGAGTGTACATCTTTCAAACACGAGTTAAGAGATGCTGAGCTTTTATTTTGAAGGCAGCACCGTCTGGCTCTCTCCTGCAGCTTCACACATGTTGGAGTTTAAGTGTGTGAGGTGAGGCCGGGGGAGCCGAGGGGGGAGATGAGGGGGGAGATGAGGGGTTCCTTGTCTGAGGAAGCTTGAGTCGGGGTCACACAGAGGACAAAGAGGAGGGGCTGCTTCATCTGCTCCAGACTGCAGCTCTGCCAAAACACTGACAGCTTTCAGTAAAGACTCTTCACTGGCAGGGAGAGGACGCTGAAAGTATCAGCTGCTATTTTATTTCTAACATTTTTATTTAACATGAAGATACACTCAGAAGCTAAGTCTGTCCTCGTGTACCACAGTTTGAGAATGAATGCCTAAGGGAATTACCAGAGCCGTTTCCAAACTACATTTCTGACCTTTAACCTTTCAGCTGTTATCAAATATTTTAAAAACAGACTGAGGGAATCTGTTTAAAAAAAAAAAAAAAAAAACCTATGACATTAAAACACACGACCCCCTTTTGTTTGAATTTCACCTTTAATAGATGCAGCCGGCCTCGTGTGAGACGGAGAGGCCACGTTTGGTAACAGAGAGAAAAGAGACACAGATACAAATCAGCGAGGACTGCAACAACATCAATAATAAACATGTGATGTAGCCGGCCGTCCGTCCTAAAGGTTTGTGTTCCCGTCTGCAGCTCAGATCAAACTCCATGAAGGCACTGCTGCGGCTTTCAGACCTGACACCAACAGTCTGAAATCACCGGGATCTCTCGCTCAAATACGGCTTCTACCGACTTCAAACTTTAATAGATTGTTGCATTGACTTGAAGGATTTGTCTTAAATGATCTCTAAAGCCAAAGAAGCGCTTCTTTTCATCTTTAATTTTAGGGTTAATCTAAGGTTTTAGGAGAAGAACGTCAAGTGGGAATTGGTATGTTTTAAGATCCTGAATATGACGCATAGAAGCGCTCTGAACACACACAGGTCATCGTGTATTAACTCTTCATTCACTAGCTCTACTGGCCCAAAAGGTTCAGAGTTAAAATCAAAAACAAGCCTTCTTTATATCCAACGCAGGTCTGAAAAAAAAAAAAAACACTCTGTTGTCACATCATCTTCTCCGATCTCACTCTGAAGTTTTTTTTCCACACGCTGTCCGAGCCACAGGTTGAGAACAAGAACTCATGTTTTTTAATGTCAAACAGCCCAGTAGTGTGTACAGTAAGCATGTATGTTTACAGAGAGACAAACAGGAACACATGCCAGATTCAACCAAATGTTTCACAGTCTAAAAAGCTAACGCTGAGCCAAAAATGTACGGAAGCTCGGTGAGACCCAAAAAATAAAAAAATCAGCTTAAAAAACAAAAACATACTTCTGTCTCACTGTACTTCCAAAAAAAAAAAAAAACATCAAAAATCACAAGTGAAGCAAAATCTTTAAAATAAGATTATTAAGATAATGTTCAGAGTGTGATGGCGATAGTCTGAAGATAAAACAGGAGAAATTAAGAAAAATAAAAAACCCGTCTTCCCTGAATTCAAAGTTAAAGTGCCCAAAATAAAATTTAAAAAAATAAAAACGATAAATTGTCTGTTATGGTGTTTGAACAGCTAACATTGTTTATCAAACAAACACAAAACAAACAACAACAACATGGCTTTAAGATGAATCAACTGTTTCCATGCAGACTTTCGCATCATTTAAAAATACACTATAAGGAAGCAAAAAGAGGCCAAAAGGTTTCGCTCTAAAAGCATCTGAATATGTGATTTAAGTGTTTTTAATGACTCTACACGTTTGAAATATTCAGTTCTATGTTTCAGGTTCTGCAAAGTCCTGCCTGCCTTAAAGTTTAAGTTTAAAATATAACGTCTAATAAACAGGATTTCTCAAAATATTTGCCTCCATCCACAAAAAAAAAAAAAGTAGACACTAGTTCTTTCTATTTTCATGGGAACGTCAAAAAGGAAATTAAAACTACAAAAATGTAGCGTGATGGATTTTTAAATGACAACTTAAATTTGACTTCCAGAAAGGTTTGGTACTTGTGAGAGGAAGACTGAAAAATGAACATTTATAAAAATATATATTTGTTAAATCACACGCACAAGATGCTGGATCCTACATTTCCCATAATGCAACTCTGTGATGTTTTTAATTTCCCTGCCTTCTAAATGACATCATCATGATTAACTGAACTTCACACACTCCCCTTAACAAATCACACTTATGTATCCATCTGCTTGTAAGAACAGAAACCTTTTTGGCCCTTTTGGTCTTCCGTAGTTGAACCCAGTGTTTGATAGTAAAATAAACGAAGGGTTAAAACCCCCTTTAAATAAAACTCTAAATCTATATATATGATTTTCCCTCCGGTGGGAAGAGGCCTCTAATATACTTTGCTCCAGGCAACACCACAAAAGTATCTTTGGTTATAACAGGAAAAAATAAATCTTTGACACAGAAGAGAGAACACTTGCAGTATTTATCCACTAGATGGCGGCGTTGTAACACAGCCTTTATGATTTCACTCAGTACCTGCAGGTCAAACTATGAAGCATTTTACAGCGCTTTTTTTTTTTAAATGGCTTTCTGAAAATTTAAGACATTTGAATTGTCTGAATGATTGTCTTTGTGATTCACGTCTACTTGTTTGTCTGATTTTCTTTAATTTCTAAATAAATACCAATCTAAAAAGCAAAGATTTTTCCACAAAACTGCGGAGAACGACATCTGTTGGTCTCTAACCCCTATATGATTCATTCTGTACAGTAAAGATAACATTGCATATGTATATTTAAGGCAGCTATTTAATTGCAACACCATCTAAAAAGGTCGGTAACCTTCTTTTAAACTCACTTGTGCTCGTTTTTTCTGTTTGCATTTTTTACTTTTCCAGACCTTTCTCTGCACTACCACTTAGTCCTTGTTTCGATCTGTGACATTCTTCTCCTTAATCCACCAGAAACAAAATAAATCAGGTTGATTGGGAGGTCAAGGCTGCACGTTTCAACTTGAGATTAGAGCACAAAAGCAGCTGCGTTTTAAATGAATGCCTGCAGACAGACGGACAAGAGGCCGACACAATGCGGCTCATTTTTCCCTCTCTCTGCTCTCTGCAGCTATCAGCACTCACAGACCTCCTTTTTCTCTCAGCTGTGGATAACAGGAGCTTTTATTAATACAACCAGCCGACATGCAGTTAATCATGACGACTTGGTGTTCACACACTGCTTCACCACTTTCTCTCCCGCGTCCTCCTCACCTCAGACTATTTTACAGAACAAAAACTTCATCCTCTCTGTTTTTTTTATCTTCCTCCCTGCGTCTAAAGTTTCTCGTCTACTTCCTCAAAACTGCTCAGTCAACTTACAGAAACCAGTCAAACTTCACCTTCGCCCCTCCTCTGACCTCCTCCCGTCTAATCTACACCACTTCATGCTTCGTCAAACTCTGCTGGTGGAACAAAACTGCACACAAAAAAGTTCAAATCCGACCAGTTCATCGTTATCATCCTCCGTCGTCTCTACTCACCCTTAAACTAAAATGACTTCCTTCTAAAACAAACTGCTATCTCACTCTGTTCCTTCAGATCTTGCAGCAGGACGCTCCCTCTGTGATTATCTCTCATCAAGAGTTTTTGTTTTTCTGTCACGTTCAACTTCCAACTTCACCTCCTTTAAGTTCTCTGCATCGTCTCTTACAACCTTCAGTTTCACTTCAGCACACTCCTGCAGTCTGCTTGTTTTCTTCCTCACAACTTGGTAAATATCACTCAACTTTGCAGCTAACAAAAGCAAAAATGCGACGATGAATAACATGTCTTCACTTCTCTAAATGTTGTGGGGTGACCATCGTGTAGCTGCAGCCCCGAGAGACGGTTTCATATCGAGAGTCTGCCGCTCACGTCTCTCCGTGTTTCTACATCTAGAAGCCGTCTGGATCAACTATTCTCAAGTGTCTGTGTCAACAACTAGACTGCAGCTCCGCTTCTGCAGAATCAACTCAAATAAGACTCGTTTTGTTTAAAGGAAAAAAAATAAATAAAAAATAATAATATGTACAGACTTTTTAAAACAAACATTAAATAAAACTGGACATATGGCCATGAGTCGTTCACAAAGTTTGAAAGGACGAAAGAGGAATCTGCATCAGTTTTGTGACAGCAGGACAGAGTGAGAGAAGAAGAAGAGGGATGGAGAGAGAGGGTGAATGATTATGGCACTACAGGTAAATCTTTGGTGTGAGAAGGCAGACTGCAGGTTTGAAGTCTTTGATCCAGGCTGCATCAAACTCCAGCAGCGTCCGTTTCAATTCTGTCCTTTCATCCCTTCCTTCACTTGTCCTTAGTTTGCCGTCTCTTCCTCGGTCCTCCTGTCATCTTTAAATCATCCCTCCTTCTGTCCGTTTCATCCCTTCTACCAGGCGCTGAATCCCCGTTTCTCATTCCTCCATCTCGATCAGAATTTTGCACATTATTTCTCCTCTGAGGGTGAAAAAAGAAAAGAAGAATGCCTCCTCTGTGCCACTAGGGGGCAGTAGTCCTGTTTTTAAGGAGGTTTTATCGCTCTAAGAAGGCCCTCTGACCTCCCTCAGCGCCTCCTGCAGTCTCTGGCGGTAGCCCTCGTAGCGCCGAATCACCGCCTCCCTCTGCTCGTCTTCCTCTTTGTCGAGGATCCTCAGGAAGTTACGCAGCTCGGGGATGGAGAACGCGTCCCACTGAAAGGAGGAGCAGGAAAAACAAACGTTATTTATATTTGTGTAGGAGCTATTTCATCAGTTATTTGGCATTTGTTTTAAATGTAACAAAATGATGAGCAGCTTTGACTGTGTGAGAATTCCTGTTAAAAGTTTTAAAATCTATATTGTGGTATCTATCGATTTTTTGTACATTTTAAATTTTTCTTTAAATTGTGTACTGTTCACTTTTTGTTTGCAATCTTTGCTGCTGTAACACTAAATTTCCCCGTTGTGGGATAAATAAAGGATCATCTTATTTTATCTTAAAGTGAAATGAGTTGTGATAGTGAAATGTCATCAAAAAATTTGTGCTTTTTTTAAATTTTATTTTAAATTTTTTAATTTAACCAGGAAAAAAAAACTTGTCAAGATCAGAAATCTCTTTTTCACAAAAACAAAAGAGATGATGTAACTGTAACGTTTTAAAGACACACAGAAAGAGGCAGAGAGTTGTTCTGTTACCATGACTTCTCCAGTCTGTTGTTCTCTCAGCACGAAGCTCAGCGTATCGGTGTCGGGTCCCGCCACGAGACGAAGGAACAGCGGCTGCTCGCCATCCGCCAGCTTGCACACATAAACTGTAGGAGACACACGGACACACACACACACAGATTAATTTAGTCCTTCAAGCCACATATATGCAGGAACGACTGTGGCTGCTGCTCTTGAAAATGCACCATGTGTGTGTTGGCATGTGTGTGTGTGTGTGTGTGTGTTTGTGCATATAAACAGGGATGGCAGAGGATGAAAGGATGGGTGCGGCACATTAACAACCACAGTCATTTACAAAAACAGAGTTAAAAACGGAGCTCCTTGTTGTTAGACTGAACTTACAGTGAACCACTCACAGCATCTAAACTCCACTCGAGTATTTCCACTTCATGCAACTTTATAAACGTTCTCCATCAGAAACATTTGTCTGAAAGCTTTAGTTGTAATCTTATTCTCTGTATGCTCTGTGAAGACGGTCATCTTGAATGTGTTTGACGGACTAAAGCGTTTCCTCAGAAGTTAAGAAATCCTTCTCCGTCTTCAGCTGAGTGAAAATATCAAAAGACAAACTAAACACTGACATGTGATTATTGATTATATGAGACTGTAGTGGGATGTTCTGTGCCGGTTATGAAGGCAGCGTTAAGCCACACATCATTGAAATCAAACAGGTTTTAGAGCAAACACTTTATTTTTGATCTTTCCTTCTCTTCTCTTGCAGACAGACTTCCACTAGAGTCACACTGTTCCTGAAGGTCACTCACTTGCCTGCATTTTTACACCGCAGCTTCGTTTTGCGGTCAAAGAGCAGCAACACGACTTATAAACTTTGAGTTAACGGGCTTGAATGAAAGCTGCAAACAACTACTGAAGTTTAAATAAACATGAGCTCATGTACATATGTAGTCTCTGCATACATGTGGTGTCAGCCTTGTGTCTAGACGCTGTCTTTTATTAGCAGACGGAGCCTCGGTGTACATCTCCATTAATGAGCCGCAACCAGACTAGAAGCTTATGTGATGGCAGTGACACGCACTCTGCCTTCGAGGGGGGAGAACAGACAAAATCTCTGTGAAAGTTTCTGTGCAAAATGTTTCACAGACTCTAAATAAGTTATGAAATCAACTTAACAAGTCACACAAATTCACAAGCGACTTCACAGCCTGTAAACTTGTTCTTCTCTCCGAGGCGCTCAAAAGACTGAGATCGTATTCGATACCCCAGAGCCCTGCAGCAGCTGCTGATTCTTAGAGTGTGTGTGTGTGTGTGTGTGTGTGTGTGTGTGTGTGTGTGTTGTGTGTGTGTGTGTCCTGGGGAGCTGTTGATAGTGGGGAGAGCCCTGAGGCATCTGACGAGGGCGAGGCGTTCAGAAATATACACACACCCTTCTCACACACACACACACACACACACACACACAAAAAGTCGACACTGTGTCAGTGCTGGAGTATCTGACTCCGAGGTTGGCATGAGTGGCATGAAACACTGTTACGCACGCACGCACGCACGCACGCACGCACGCACACAGGGTCAGCGGGGCTGGGTCTTACCCTGCTCCTCCCTGCGGTAGCGTTTGTAGAGGGCATATTTAGCCGGGTTGTCTGCGACTGTGAACTTCCTCAGCAGGGCGACGATGACCTGATAACAAAACAGAAAAGGAAAAGAAAGTTAGAATATTTTCCCATCAACCCACTTTAAAAAAAAAAAAACAGCTGATAGACATCCAGGCTGTTCCAGCGTTTGGCAAGTTAATCCAGAAATTCAACAAGTTACTATTTACTTAACATCTATTTATTTATCAATTAAAACGATCAAATGTTAGAACACCTCGGCACTACCTGAAGTTAATGGTGAAGGGAATTAACGCTCATAATATATATTTAGTAACAAGACAAATGAACGTGTCCTGATAAGAAAAAAAACAGTCTTTTAAAACTGTTTAATATTTACCGTTCACCACAGGCTGAAAACAAACAGTTATGATACTTATGAAGTCAAGATCAGATCACCTCAGAGTCTGTCTTCACAGTACAACCCGTACCATTTAAAAAAGAGACTGTTCTGATACATTCCTGTTAGGTGCTGTTGCCATGGTTACTTGACCTTTCATGTAACTCTGTTATGATCAGAGCGTTGGTCCCTGACTTACAAAACCTTTTTGATTTAATTGACTTATTTTTTTTAAAAACAGTTATTTTACACAGTAGTCACCCTTTTATAATCACTTTGGTTACATGTTTGTTACATATTAAATAATTATTAAAGACACAAGATGTACAGACTGAATTCAGATCAAACAAGAAAGAAAAAAAAACACACAAAAGTGACTGAAAGCTTTTAATAAACTTCAACATCTGTCCCGTCTGCCTCTGTTGACTTCAACCCGTATGTCATCAGATCCTAATTAAGTTGTGTTGACCCGTGTGTGTGTGTGTGTGTGTGTGTGTGTGTGTGTGTGTGTGTGTGTGTGTGTGTGTGTGTGTGTGTGTGTGTGTGTGTGTGTGTGTGTGTGTGTGTGTGTGTGTGTGTGTGTGTGTTAGCCACCTGTTTGACTGTGTTACTGGAGCTGATGTGGAGCGTGTTGCTGACTCCTCTGGGCAGATAGAACGCCTCCTCTCCTCTCTGACCTCCTCGCACCGTCACAGGCCTCCTCAAATCCATCTGCACCTTGATGAAACCGGTGTATACACCAGAGGGATTCTGGGAAAAAAAAGACAAAGAGAGAGAGACGTTATACTACATCATGTACAACGTACTTTGACAACAGTATTTACCCACTTTCCAGTTGAGTCACCATCTTGTCTGCGTAATAAATGTGTCTATATCGATATCAGTATCTGGCCTTTATGACGATCACAATAAATGAAACAGCTCCTGAAAGTTTACAGAGCGTCAGCAGCACATGTACAGTACAGCTACATGATCCCTCTGTGAGACACCAGTTCACCCAGTAAGCCCAGTGTGTCCCCGTGTGGACAGATGGCCCCGGACAGAGGGAGAGCATCTTAATCTCATTACTGCAGGAGTGTGTGTGCGTGTGAAGGCTGATGTGTGAAAAGATGAGGAGTGGACAAAACCAGATTGGGGTGAACAGAGGTTAAATTAAAAAAAAAAAAAAAAAACACACACGGAAGTGGACAGAAGGACAAAGAGAAACGTGTGCTGCCGTCACGCATCAGAAAACAATATCTTACGCCTCGAAAATATGAAGCCAAGAGGGAGAAAACTAGCCATGTACTCAGACAAATTGTTGATTTTTTCAGAATACCTGAGTAGGTTGAAGTTTTTAAACATGATATATATAAACTGCTTTTCTAGATCTGTATAGAAAATGTATTTCAGAGTTACATGATACTGCACACTGTACTTCTGATTATTTACCCTCAGCAGCATTTAAAACTTAAAATCAACCTTTTAAATTTAATTTAATAAACCAATTTGTTTTAAGAGATCTAAGATCTTAAATATCCGGAGCAGAACTTCTGCTTTACCTAATTTCCTTCATTTGGACTTTCATGTGAAGTCGGTGTCTTGGGGGTTAAACACATATTCAGAGCCGTGTCAGGCTGCCAGAGAAAACAGTGTCCGGGAGAACAATAGCAGGAATAACATCACATCACTCTGATGTGAGAGCTGAGGAATGCTGGGAGCAGGAGGAGAGAGGCGGCGTGGATGTTAACCACCAGCACACCTCATGATGTTATGAGTGTAGCGTGTGGGTGGGTTTCTCCTCAGACTCCTTTAAACACGGGCAACAGATGACAGCAAAGACGTGGGATTGAGAGTTTGTTCTTTTCTTTGTGAGGAGCTTTTTATTGTCTCAAGACGGGTGTATTTACAGCGGTTCGATATCCTTATTGTGTTGCATGGACTTCTACTTTTAGAGCTCGTCTGATTGTATTTGACCGCGGCATGTCTGTGCAACTAAATCAAAATTTCACATCCCGATATAGGTAATTTGGTACCCAGACAGCTCACATTTTCTGCAAACTCAGCAAATTATAATCGTGCAAATATATTGTGTGACCCCCCCCCACTTTTTTACTGTCTTTATATGAAAGTAAAATACTAAATTTGTATGTCTTTTTCTGCTGATTAAACATAATGAAAGTGTGAGAAACGTCATAAAGGAGGTTAAGGGCTGCTGGCAAAATCATACAAAATGATTTTATGCTCCAGTTCTGCCTTTTTGATTCTTTTTTTGGGCGGCTTTAAAAGGGAAAACAAGCTTCAAACTAAGTCCATACAATTCACTGACTCAGCCAGTGTGTGTGTGAGTGTGCATATTGGTGTGTGTGGGTGTGTGTGTGAGTGTGGTGCACTCACAAGGGTCATTTTCAGGTGGTCCTTAGTCACCGAGTTGTACAGCTCGATCCTCTGCCTGATCTCTTCCCTGCTGAACTCCGTCCGAAGCTCTCTCTCCTTCTCCACATCCTGACAAACACAAAGAAGGAAACATGATAAATGCCAAGTCAGCTAACATCAGTAAAAACAATAGAGGCTGTGTGTTTGGATAAAAGCACAAGTGGAGCTATCCACAATCTGAATCAAGAGGATAAGAAGTGCCAGTGGTTTGATTTCACACGGGACTCAAATCCTGTTCTCCTCCTGGGTTAAAGTCTGAAACCAAACTGATTCATCCACCTAGACCCTCTCATATTTTAGAAATCAACTCAAGGTGTTATTTTAGTTCATTTCAGGACTTTCTATACCTGACGTTGTCCGGGATTAAACTGGTCGTTATAAAGACTTGCAGAGACATTCTATATAGTTATGTTTTTCTGTGAGGATGGTCTGTAAATACCTTGTTGATTTAAATACAGTGTTTGTCAAGACACGAGGCTTTACTTTATGTGATCAGCAGTCGACACTGTGTTTGTGTGAAAACAACCTTAAACATAGTAAAGGCCAGGGGCCGGAGGAGGTCACAACCGAGGTGTTTTCTTCCCCCTAGAAAAAGCTAAATATACCTTGTATTGTCAAAATATTAAAAGATTTTACTTCTAAAGAATCATTGGTAAGTTTTTAGAAACGAAAATTTGTAAGATATAGAGCAACATCGTCTGCATAGAGTCAAACACAGCTATTCATTTTGCTTTGAAATCAAAACATTTTGAGACCAGGGCTGTCAGCATTAAGTAGTTAATTGCGTCAATTAAGGTATGAAATTAATGCATTTTTAAAAATCTGTCTTCATTGCATGTTTTTTGTCCCTTTAGGTGCACCGTAGTTAAGCCTCCGTAGTATCTCCCTGTAGTCACAGTGATGGAGCATAAGAGCGTAAAAAATCAGGTCACAACCGAGGTCAGCTAAAAGAGAAAGTTCTAGGTAAAGACGACAGACAGACACATGTGTACCATACAGAGACCAACATGTGTACATGACTTCAGCCGACACCAGGTCCAAACCTCTGATTAAAATCTATTTCTACAGCATCTTAAGAAATGCACGTAAACAACAATAAATGTGTTACATAAGCTGTTGTAAAGAGTCCTGGCTGACCTCAGACCCAATTAAAATGTTCAGGCAGCCGCTGCATGGAGGAGTTTCGTTTCTTGGAAGAACCTGCACATAAACAGCCGTTAAGAAATCCCAGCCTGCCGCACAACAGCAGCTAAATACAATAAAATATTTACACTATTTTAATTCTAGGACAAGAAGACACAGCAGCAGACTTCCTCAGTGCCACAAAGAGTTTAATGACCAGGCGGAGTGGCGGCGCAGCGTGTGCAGTATAAACATGAGCATTGACTAGAGAGGATGCGATCAGCTCTGGAGTGCATAGCGCTGACCGAATGCGGGACACATGGATCCTGTAGAAACCGCATCTTGTAGTATAAAGTCTTTTCCTCAAATTTGGTTTGCACACATCTGGTAGTTAAGGGAGGTTTAAGTAACAAGCTCTGTCTGTCTCCATGTTTAAAGTCTGAGAGTGCCAATGCAGAGTCCTGAGTGTTTTATTCTCCAGTGTAGAGTGTGCTTACTGTACATGGGCATAGTGCAGCACTCCTCTACATCTATTAAAAACCACACACACAAACACACACACACATAGTGCAGAATCCAGGGAGGCTTTGAAGGCACATACACCCTTATATGGAGAACACACACACAGCTCTCAAGGGAAAGACAAGGTGCCAATACAGCATGTGCAAACACTGCAATCACACACTGCAGCTCTGACAGACGCTAATCAACATCTAAAATGTACAATGTCAATCATTCAAGTCGTGTCTGAACTGTTTATGGTTTCTGTGTCCTTTAAATGTCAAAAAAGTTCAACAGTGTTTACCAAAACTGAAGATGACGTACCTGAATCAAACGCTTGGATTACTCATCCATGTATGACATCACTGATCGTATATTTTGCCATATGCTACGACAGCTGACACTTTAGTGCTGATGACCTGTTGCTTTACACCTGACAGGTGTAAACACTGACTCATCAGGATTAAAAAGAGGAGACACAGGGACAGCGGAGTCAATAATCGGCTCAATCCCGCTCAAAGAAAAGTGGCTGAAGAAGTCCTTCAGCATTTTCCTCAGGTCAAAAAACCAATATGAGAATGTAAGAGTTTAGAGGGGAAAATCACTCATGTTTTAAATTAAGTAAAACTAATAAATCAATGCACATCAAGCTAGTTTGAATGACCTTAAATCAGAGAAGTTTGGTAGATTAGTTCAGTTATTGCAAGAACACCAAAAGGGTCACAGGATGAATCTGAGAGGCCTCAGGATGATGAATATGATATTTAAATAAATCAGTTTTTCTTCCTATATTTGTTGTGCCACTAAGCACTTCAAGAAAGTCATATAAGACTATATCTAAAAATTATTTTGAGCTTTATTACGTGACCTTTGCTTAAAGCTCGAAGGCTTTTCACTTGGTCGTCGCTTTAAGCACCTTACAGGTCAGACGAGTCAAAGCTTATTATCAGGAAGTGACAAGTTAAGAGATTATCGGTCGTGTTACCCGACACAGACGGACGGAAAGGCAGAAGGAAAAGCAAGAAAAGAAAGATGACAAACACAAAAACAGAAATGATGATAGATGATCCCTCAGGGGGGGACTCCCTCCTCTCATGACTGTGCAGTGTGTACGTTTCTGTGTATTTATATTCACCAGTATACATATTGAAGTCTTGTGACCTGGCTGGTTGATTAAGTGACTTCACACTCCCATAAACTCGCCTTACATCACTCTCTGACTAGTAAAACCAGGACTCAGTGGTTCGTAGTCATCCATCTTTCAGAAGAATAATTTCACATCCAAGCATTTTCTCATTTGTATAATATAATGTACAGAGCGAGATTTACGATACATTTCAGCAAGAAAAAGCTTCTTTTTTTTAACCGATATCAGGCTACAGTTTGTTGATGGATCATTTTAAATACTAAATAGTAGAAGAGTGACCCCCAAATCTCTATAATGACATCTACGAAGAACAAAATATACAGTTAAAGTCTTATAAAAGTATTTTAAAATCCATATCCCTTGACGCCAAAATAAGGCTTTTAACTGGCAAAAAGTTAGATAATGTAGCAAAAACATCTGCATTAATAGATTTATAATTTATTCTTAATCTCATCTTGTTAAGTAGGAGAAGCAACTTTAAGACATTCATGGGACCCCTTAAATATTCACTCAAAGTCTCTCCCAAAAGGAATCACCACTAGTTTTATACTCTGCAATATCCTCCCTCGAGACTTCCTCCATCAAAATGTTACTTCCCTCTCCTCTTCATATCATATTTGGATAATTCTGACTAAGTGATGTTTCCAGCCCTGGTTATTATACTACCAACTGTGAGAGGTGTGTGTCCAGTCCAGGCTTTGTTTCATTCAGGATGGAGAGGGTTAAGAGGAACAGGGAGGGCGAGTGCGACCAAATCCAAACAAACAAGAGAAGCAGAGCACAGCGGAGCTACAACAATGAGGTCATGGTCTTATTTAAGATCACAGCGAATCCTCCCACTAAAGCTGAAAGATCAACACCAGACAGAGAAAGGAAGACAGAAGGAAAAGACAGTAGCTGGCCTTTATTAAAGCCTGCCGAGCCATAACCGATTGAGACTGCAAAATGGGAAGTTTATTTTTCCTAGAAACAGAGAGAGCAATATTATTTGGCTAACACTAATGCTGAGGCTTGTATCTTACACTGTCTTTTCCCCCTAGAAAAAGCAAAATACAACTTGTATTGTCAATATAGTAAAATATTTTATTTCTATAGCATCAGGGGTGACTTTTTAGAAATGGAAACTTGAAAGATATAGAGCAACATCGTCTGCATAGAGTCAAATCACAGCAATTACTTCTGTTTTAGAATCAGGAAAAACTGAGGCTAGGGCTGTCAACATTAACTAGTTAATTGCGTTACTTAAGGTCTGAATTATTGCATGCTATTTCGTTCCTCAAGGGGCACCGTAGATAAGCCTCCATAATGTCTCCCTATAGTCGCAGTGATGTAGCATAAGAGTGTAAAAAATCAGAGCTGTCCTTCAGAATCAGAGCAACCAATAAATGCTTTTAAAATAGCAGAATAGAACAACACAAGTAAAAAGTGAACAACAGAAGAACAGATGTGGAAAAAAAGGGACTTTATCTTTATCTGCATGTCAGAGTCTCCAGGCTGATCTCTGACAGCTGTTTCAAAAATAACCCCGGTAGTTAAAATTTAGTCAGTGAGAGAGACAAAAAAGGTATTTTCTGTTCTCAACCCTTTATCACACACACCTGCAGCATTCCTGTCTTTGTTTAGCACTGTCACGCATCCACCATCTGTAAATAGATGACATCACCCCATGTGTGTGTGTGTGTGCAGACAAAACATGCTTAGCTTGGCTAAAGAGACCTAAAAGCAGCGGACTGTGTGCTTTGTGTGTTGTCGGAGCTACAGGCAGACTAAACACAGTGATGTGGCTGTGCTAACTGGATCTAACCTACATTTAGAGGACAAGAAAGCTCTTATTTCTGTCTTTGTGTTTGTTTCCTCGTGGCGGTCTTCCTCTAGGCTATGTGTGTTTAAAAGGATCACAACTAAGGTCATTTGTTCTAGTTAAAGAGTCACAACTCCCTCAACTCTACAATCTTTTATCCATCCGACAGTCTTATTCATTTTCGATTAATATGTCAATTGTTCTCTAAGTTTGGGCAATAAAATGTGACACCATTGGGTCTTTCTTATTCCAAATTAGATCAACTTTCTCTTTCCAACCCTTAAGCTAATCTCTCATCTGAAATCATCTTGTGTCCACGTGTCTACCCTCATCCACCCTCGCCCCCTCCCTCTCTTTGTGATTTCCTGTTGAGTCCATGGGGGGAAGTCGAGACGGGACACACCTTTCCTCCCAGCATTCCTACACTAATGGGTACACACACACACACACACACACACACACACACACACACACGCTATCAGGCCACATTAATGTGTC